CGCTGTCCATGCTAAGTGATGTTAATTATAAAATATAGTGGTAAACCCAATTAAGTGTGTGAAATTAATATGCAATGTACGTAACACATATACTTTGCATGTGTTCATCGGGAAGATTATGAAACAAAATGGACGGTGTGTACCACGTGACTTTCGTAAACCAAGGTGCGGAATGTCGCAACTCTTTATATATATGGCTCTGGGACCGATCAGAGCCGTAGATAGAGAGACTTTCGACATTGAGAATTAGAAGCAATTCTGTGTCCAACGCGATACGCGTTCTGTGTCCAACGCAATGTGCGTTCACAATATTGTATAATACAATTAACGGCCTCCTATAGTATTTAATTTAACATTTTTAGCAGTTGAATTTCGTGTTAACTATATTTATAAAAAAAAAATTCACTACTTTATATCCAATTTCATATTACTGTATATATACTGTAATAATTTACAATTTTAAGCAGTTCTTTAATCCTCGTCGATAGTCGGAGAGCCCCTCGATGGCAAGCATTCTTCAATTAGGCAATCCTGCCATATAGACCCTTAAGTGGCTCCTGTTATTTTGGCGAAATAAATGATATATGACGACCAGCAAAAATTAATTAAATATGTCTACCAAAATTTAATCAACATTAGTTACTCTTTTATATTAATTTAGGTTACATCTATGTTGTCCATGTACCAGTATTTAATTTGTGTGGGAAAAACGATAATATAACAACAAAATATCTTAGTATTTTTCCTTGAATTTTACAAAGAGAAACAACAATTGATTTCGAGATCATAATCAAATAAAACAAATTATATCATACTATTAAATGTTTCTTTGCCAAAAATCACTTCTATTATTATTGTTTATAGTAAAAATTATTAAAATAATGTTAAGTGGGTCGCATCATTTTCGTTTGTAAATTGAGAGTAGGCCTACACCAAATTATCTCCGTCAGAAAATTATTGTTTATAAAGTGAAGGGCAATCCTTTGTCTTCTTAATTCATTATGGGCTTGTTAATTATATCTGCCTCAGGTCCTTTATCAGAATCAGTGCAGGCAGTCCAATATTGAACAGCCAGACGTATCATTATTTTTAGCCTTGGTCGGCAAGTATTGTATCAAATACGATAGTACAGTATAATACATACTCTAAGTATCGAAATGCACGCCATCGTGTCGGGACAATATTTCGACATTAATTATGTGATCATCAGGAATGATGATGACATAATTAATGTCGAAATATTGAATCCCGACACGATGGCGTGAATTTCGATACTTAGAGTATCGTATGTATTATACTATACTATCGTATCAAATACATTGTTAGTAATAGTGTATCGTCATGTTTCACCTTTTAATTTGTTTAAGATTTTTTTTAATTCAATTTTATTCAAAGTATTATGCTAACAAATTGCATCTTGTGGCCAAGGGTCAGATTTCATGTAATTTGTACAAGTCTTCCTATAAAAATCAACCAATAAAATACATGTCAAATAAAAACACACGAGAAAGCAAAAAAGATGAGACACTTAACATAATGGCATTTAAAGGTATACTGTCAGCAAACAGATGAGGGAACCAATACATTATAAAAGAAAAGAAGGTTCATTTGGAAAATGTGTTGTTAAACTTCAGGTATATATACAAAATTGGAATAAATAACAATTAAATTGATTTCTATTTTAGAATCCCAGTCCCAGGCGACAGGAGCTGCATTTCAGATGGATAGTGGTGCTTCGATTCAAAATCTCAACATGACCATTCAGCAGCACATATACGGTAATTTCTGTCTTATGTTTTATTGATATGATACAGGTAAATCTAATAAAGAGATTTTACAAAATATCCGATAAAATTATACTGAAAAGCTATCACGTTTCCTCGTGGTCTCCCATCACCCTGGATTCACCACTTTAACCAATTTAATTTGTGTTATGTGTGCATTTTCAGGGCCGTCATCCTCTCTAACCGATCAAGAAATTTCAAGGTGTCGTGATGACTTAAAAAGTTACTACAGAAGTATTTGCAAAATCCGATTGCTGCCTTGGCTCAAGAGAGATCTTCGCAATAGATTGGAAATTAAGGATTTATATACTAATCTTTATCTTATCTGTGAAATGCCGAATGCCATTGATCTACAAGTCCATATCAAGCACTATTCAGAAATACTGACATCAACGCCGGGAGAAGGGATGCGGGCCCTCATTCGCGGCAAAGCCGGTGCAGGTAAAACCACCTTGCTTGAAAAAATTGCGCTAGAGTGGGCCGATGGAAAGCTTCCACCAAGCTACAATGATAAACCGCTGTTATTTTTATTAAAAATGAAACGTATTAGCGACAATGATACCCTGATTGATGCTGCGTTTCGCCAAGGACTCTTTGGACATGATCTTCAGAAACTTAAATCTAAACTAAGTGATTTTGTCGAGGATAATCCAAAGGAGGTTATCGTACTGCTCGACGCACTAGATGAGTATAGTGGGTATAACAGTGGTGGATACATTGACAGCATTATACATAATGACTCGATGAGGTGTGCTTCTGTTATTGTAACGACGCGACCATGGAGAGCTTTTGAAGTTCTCGACAAATCGCCGGACACATATAGCAGTCGAAATTATGAAGTAAAAGGCTACACCCAGGTGCAAGTTAATGAATATGTTAATCGTTTTTTTGTGTCGAAGGCCGACATTGGCAAGCATTTACTAAGTCAACTGAGGGAAACTGGGCTTGACATAGGAATTGCTACCATACCGATAATGTGTATGCTTATATGTGTTGTGTTTCGTGAACTCAGGGCAGTACTCCCTCGGACAATGAGTGAGTTATATGAAAAGTTACACGATTTCCTCATCCGACACTATGATGAAGACAAGGACTCTGAAACAAAGGTGTGTAAAACAGATCAACTTAACGCTATTGAGAAACTTGGTAAACTTGCCTTTAGTGGCCTACTGCAAAATAAGTTATCATTTGAAGAAAATGACTTTAATGACACCAATATTTTAGAAAATGCTTGCAGGATAGGGCTGGTTGTACATTCCAATTATATTAACAATATGCCAGACGACGATTTATGCAGCAGCACTCAAGTAGACGTATTGAGATGCTGCTTGCCTGAAGAAGAGAAGCACTGTTATGAATTTTTCCACAAGACATTCCAAGAATGGTATGGTGCAAGTTACCTAGCAAAACTCAGTAAAGAAGACATCGGTGCATTTGAACAATCATGTAAACCCGTTTATATTCACATGATATCGTGCCTTGATAAAGAACTACTCTTGCGTTTTTTGAGTGGAGCACGCCCCATGGACGCCGCAGAATTAGTTATCAGGCAGCTTGTTATTGTTTTTCTTAATTCTCCAGATTTATTAGACTATAAGGAAAACAAGCTAGATTTACAGAAAACAAGAATTATGCAAGAGTTTATTGAACTGATTTTGAGGTGTAATAGAGAAAGCCAATCGGAAGGTAAATTCAATGCATTGTTGAACGAAATGTTTGAAAAACAATGTTGTGCGCGATTCACAAATATTACTTCAACCACTCTTCAAGCAATAGGCTATATGCTTAAGTTCGGAGGAGCGACGAATGAGTCTTCGCGTGTTGACTGTAAATTACGCATTAGAGATCTCAAGATTAGTTGCTATAGTACAGGTACTGATGGTGACATTGATCATTTGTGGGGAGAATTTCAAGCAGTCGGAGAGCAATACAAAGCGAAATGTAAAACTCTCTCAGATCTGCCCCGTTCTAAGCTCGAGTCGATTTTCGAACAGGTAAAGGACATTTTGCCAAAAGGTATCGAACATCTACAACTGGCTAGTAAACTAGCGTTTGCAGACACGTGTGAGTTTATGCAGAAATGGAAGGGTGACTATTCTCATATATGTAGTGTTGTGGAAAACATACGTTTCTCTGAAATAACAAATTTGACCATTAATGGCATAGATCTTTCGGACCATTGTGCAATTCTTTGTAGGAGTCTAAAAAACATGAAGTCACTCAAAAAGTTGGATCTAGGTTCTACCTCACTGAAAGCTATGCATTGCAGATTCATTGGAGAAATGTTGGAGTCACTATCAGAATTATGCATATTAAATCTGAATAAGAACAAACTCGAAGATATCAGTGACATCGTACAACGACTCAAATACCTGCCATGCCTGACTAGACTAGACTTGGAAACCACTCATCTGACGACAAGCAGCATTGCTGCTCTTGGTCAAAACTTAAAGTACGTGCGTAAGCTGGAGAGATTTTACATACGTTCTAGTCCCTTGCATAATGGGGCTGTGGAAGATTTAGTGAGTGGCTTATATAAGGTGTCAGACCTTATACGTTTGAATATTACACTAGGAGGAAAAGACCAACTGTCATATGAAAACATTACAATTTTAGTAAAATGTTTGAGTGCTATTCAAAACATAGAACTTTTATTCATAGATGGTCTGTTTTCACCGATAATAGACAATGTGTTTCTGTTGCTGGCTACAGATCTTCTGCCAAGCCTTAAAAAATTGAAATCATTAAGACTTCAAGGTAGGCTTGGGCTGTCTCTCGAGGAAGCAAAACATCATGCGATAGGGAACGCAACAGCTAAGGTATTCGCCAGAAACTTAAATACGAACAGTCTTCCTAATTTAATGGCCCTACGTTTGATTTACTTATGGGTAGAAAAGGAGGGTCTAGAAGCAATACGCACTGAGGTCAGATGTCGCATACAAGAAAACAACAGTTTTCAGTAAGTTCTTTTTGAGTACTGCCAATATATCACTCTTCTAACTTCTATCTTCTATTTAATATTGATAATGTTATACTACTATACTTAAATATGATAAAAACAATACACTATGGACGCATTGCTCTCTTAAATACTTCCGTTATTATAGAGATAATAAAACGTTTTTTGTTTGGTTCTCAACGAGCTTTTGACACAATATTGTATTTAATAACATACATATCTTACATATCTAATTAAAACCGCTGATTTTTCCATGGATTTTGTCCTTGTAACCTGATTGGGCCGCTATAGGACCTAAACTGGACGCATATAGAAAAGTAGGCCTACCTCATTCGAACACTGCTACACTAATTATTGTTATGATCGCTGGTAAGAGCATTGATACAAACTATTCTAATTTCATTCGACAGATTCGAGTTGTACCCTAACGATGATAATGAGGGAGATTCTGCTTATGTACCACAAGCTGTTCTATTAAGTAATCTTAACCCTGCCTCGACGAAAGAGTAAATCATAGACTTTAGACTAATTTCAAGAATGACCAACACGGTTGAGAGTGTGTCCACTGTACATGACCATCGATTTTCCAATAGGTTGTTATCTTACCACTTCATTGCCTAGGATTACCCACACGAAGTTGGAAAAAGACGGATGTTAAAGGTTCCAAAGATGTTGTGGTGGTGATGGTTCTAGTAGGAGCCATAACTCCTAAGGAATCTAATGTGTAGGAGTACCCCAGGAGGGGTAGAAATGTGGTAGAATGACAGGAAAGGTCCACCACTGCAGTTTAATGGTGAAGGTTGTGATGATGGCGACGACCTCTACGATGATGAGTTTGGTGATGATGATGATGATGATGATGATGGAGAGGTGGTCTGACCCAAGGCTTTCAGACCTTTTCGATACTTTTATCATTTGTAAACTCTTGCATGTTTTTAATCGAAATTTTAAAGGGGCTGTGCAATTTATATTCTAGATTTGAAATTTGTAGTAATAAAAAAAATAATAAATATAGATAAAATCATACTTTCTAGTATTTATATATATATATATATATATATATATATATAATATATATATATATATATGTATGTATAAACTATACAAAAAAAGAGAATTATTACACCATCACACTTAATTCTTCCAGTCAAATGCTAATGAATAATAGAGAATAGTGGTTGCGATAAAGTTAAAATTGAAATAAAGTAGTACAGAAGAATGAATTATTTAACTATACAAAAAAAGATAATGATTACACAAATTCTCCCAGTCAAAGGCAATTGCAATTGATTAATAGAGAATGGTGGTTATCCATAAAACAATGGAAGAACCGTCTATCTTCAGGGAGGGGCTGATCCTTTGTGTCTGTTTTTTTTAAATTATTTATTTTGTTTCAATATTAAACCTATAGTGTGCAGTATTTTGATTTCGTGATCTCTATTTTCTTACCCAAAGC